CTCCTCTTCCTCCTCCTCCTCCTCCTCTCTCTCTCTCTCTCTTTCTCTCTCTCTCACACCCACACACACCCCAGGTCTTTACCTCTGATCCCTAAACTGTGCATGGATAACCTACCTCTCCTAGGGTCTGGTGGCGCTGGTCTGATTTATCCTGGCTTCTCTGTTATTTGTGCTGAACACCTCATGTTGTGAATTTTCCTTCCATATGAGTTCATTTCCTGACTTAGTTATGGCAGTTTTTAGGTTTCATGGGGTGAGTTTAGACATTACAGTTGGGAGGCTTTCCCGCCAAAGAGGAAGGAAAACTTTGCTTCGGAAGACTGACACTTTGCTCGGAATTTAGGAACGTGTTATGCCTTGAAAAAAATCAATGGGAATCTTGAAAGCCTGTGACTAATAGCTATAACACACAGTACCAACGGACAAGTCTTTTTCTATTAGTTCTGACTCTAGAGAAGTGTCCCCCACATCATCTACATAAGATACACAGGAAGGCATGCCAGCATATACAGGCGGGGGCTATCCACACCTGCTCACAACAGAGTGTGGTTTTATGTAGCCTTGGCTGACCTGGAACTGGATATATAGGCCAGTCTGGTTTAAAACTATAGAGATCTGCCTGCTTCTGCCCCCTGAGTGCTAGGATTAGAGATATGTGCCACCATATCCAACACCCCTTTTCATTTTTTTTTTTTTTTGAGACAGAATCTTATGTAGCCTAGCCTGGCTACCAGTATCCTACAGAGCCAAGAATGACTTTGAACTCTTCCTCCTGCCTCAACTGGAATTACAAACATGCACCGCCTTGCCTGGCTCATAGCAGTTTTTCTTTTCAATTCCTTATCACCTCTTTAACTTCCCCCTAAGTGAAGCCAGACTAGACTAGTGTTGGCTCCACTGGCTTGGGTGGGATGGGGTGGGGTGGGGAGAGGCAGGATGCCTGTCACATGGGCTTTCATTTTTCCGTCACTTGCTTGCTTTTCACCCAGCTTTGACCATACCAGACTCCAAGCTACTCTGCAGTTTACACCAACTGATCCTTGCTCTCTGTCTGTCCTGGACACTTCTTCCCCCAAAACTTCAAAACCTCCTTTCTCTGTTCATTAAGATCTTTTTTTCAACTAAGACTTCAAGAGTGAGACTTTCGCTCCCCTAAAATAGCAGCCCCACCCAAATTCCCTTTCCCTGAATAAAGCAGGAAGAATAGTTTCTTCATGACCTGACATGACATCATCTATATTTACAGTATCAGTTATGGCCTGTTTTCTGTAATGTATGACATAAAGTACTTTGTAGTTTCTGTACCTAAAACAGGGCCTGGCACATAGTAGGCAATCAGTAATATCTGTTGAATAAAAAGTCCTTAATAGCAATCACCAGTGAGTCTAAATGTCTTGTTTATGAACTCTCTAGCTACAGGATAATATTATATTAAACATTCCTGGGATATACCGCATGAGTACTGAGACCGAAATTTCAGTCCCTTCTCTTTAGTCTAACCGAACAAGAAATACAAAACACATGGAACGTTTTAAGTTCTAAAATTCAAACATTTGAAAGTAAGTCTCACAAGGAAAAAAATGTCTTTATAGTCCATGTATAATGCATAACTATTTTTCTTCTGGCAAAGCTGAAATGTACTTGTGTGTGCTCAGCTGGGGTTTTCCTCCCCAAATGCCACATTCAGACTGAACTGAAGCATGCATGTTCTCCATTATTCCCCCAAGTTAGATCTAAGTATGTGTGTATGGGGGGGGGGTAAGAAAGTGGAAGCTTGAGACTTTTTATTTGATGGTGCTGGGGATGAAACCCAGGGCACATGCTAGGCGCATATTCTATCACTGAGCTACATTCCCAGCTTGATTAAAACTTAAGTGCATCTCTATCTACAGCTTAGAGATCCGCTTGGCTCACTGATTGTAACTGCCCTTGAGAGGAACTACAATAACCCGTGCTAATGAATTGGCTTCACTACTTGCCAAAAAATTAAGAAATTTTCTAACCAGCAATTTCCTTGTAAATAAAGAAGCTCAAGTCACCTTTTGGTTAAGAGCCTGAGTTTCATCTCATCAAATGGAGCAGGAAATGATATATTCAAGACTATGTTAGCTTGCAGACTGCAGGCCTGATGTACAGGTCTGAACAGGGCAGTAAGTTTAGTAACACAGACCGGCACAAATTTAATCTGTGGAAGACACCTTCAGATACAGATGAAGCCTCGGTTTAGCTAATTGTTAGTGGAAACCAGTGACTGAGGACGAGTATCGCCTAAGATTTATGTAGCTTTTGTTTCTCTTAATAATCCTTTTACATATATCTCATGTTATCTTCATTTCAGGTTGTTTTTTCTGTATTGGGTAGTGGCTTTTACTATGGTGTGAAGAGACACCATGACCACGGCAACTCTTAGAAAGAAAACATTTAATTAAGAGTGGCTGGCTTATCATTCAGAGGTTCAGTCTATTATGATCATGAAGAGGACCATGGGAGCATTCAGGCAGACATGGTGCTGGAGCTGAGAGTGCTATATCTTGCAGGCAGCAGGAAGTTAACTGACTGTCACACTGAGGGAAGCTTGGCAAAAAGACCTCAAAGCCCACCCCCACAGTGACACACTTCCTCCAAAAAGGCCACACCTACTCCAACAAGGCCACACCTCCTAACAGTGCTACTCCTTTTGTGGGCCACTTTCTTCCACACCACCACAGGTAGTAAGGGGCTTAGGCCTGTAATCTGCAAGCTAACAACTTCAAAAACAACAACACTTTCACTTTCCAGAAGAGATTTGAGGCAACCTAAAAGGCTTTTCCCAGCTTTGAGGATAATTAATTGAACTATTGCTATCATGATCTCTGGATAAGGTCTTTCACCAGATATCAATATGTCTGCCATTTAGCTGTCTTCAGTTTCTGCTTTATGTTAATTCCCCAGAAGTTTTGCAAGATAAAGTCCTGACCCTTTTTATCCCTTTGCTTTCTCATTCT